CGCCACTGCCAGCAGCTTCCCCCGCACCGCACCTCCGCTCACATGCGGTAACAGCCTCTAGCACCACTGCACCCTCATGCCCTGTGCCGCTTCCCCAGAGCAGAGGTGAGGGCAGCAGTGCCCCTCTGCAGGCCTCACATGCCTGCTTGGCTGGGGGGTGAGGGCTCGCATGCTGCGGCCACCATCACACCACCATGCCCTGCATCCCATGCAACTTTCACGCCACACCTTCCCCCCCCCCAGCCACAGGCAAGCGGTGCGGTGTGTGGCGGCAGTGGTGCAGCGGTGGCGGTGGCTGCCGTGTGTGACCTCCCCCTCCCTCCCCAGCCAGGCAGCATGTGTGTGGCCCATAGAGGGGCACTGCTGACCTTGCCCCTCTGGCTCTACTCCTGGGAGCAGGCACAGAATGAGCTGAGGTGGGGGGCTGGCAGTGCCCCTCACCCCTCTGCCACCACGCCCCAGGGCGCACTCTGTTCTACCCCCTCTCCCCACCTGCCCACCCTCTTGCCTGAGCTAAGAGAGGGGAAAGTGTTGGGGAAAGTCCCACCAGGAGTGCCTGCCAGCTGGCAGGCACTCCATGTCTTCCCCCAACACATCCTCGCTACCTCAGCCCCCAGCCAGCTACCCACCCAGCCCTGCCCCGCAACTCCCAAGCCCCAGTTACCTCCAGGAATGAAGAAGACTGATCCTCCTCCTGAGGCAGCCTCCAGTAAGTGATTGCATCGGGTCCCGCCCTTTCCCCCTCCCAAGCCCCAGTTACCTCCAGGAATGAAGAAGACTGATCCTCCTCCTGAGGCAGCCTCCAGTAAGTGATTGCATCGGGTCCCGCCCTTTCCCCCTCTCCCTTCCCCCTGGGCAGGGCTGGGGCTTTCCCACCCCTTTTGCAAACAGCTCTTGCAGGCTGGAACTCAGTCAGCCTGCAGAGCTCTTTGCAAAAGGGGGAAATCTGCGGGTTTCCCTGCTAAAAGGGAAAATCCATGTTTTCTCCAATTAAACTGTGAAATCCATGGTTTTTGTCCATTTTTCCATGGGAAATGGAAAACCCGTATCCCTGCACATCACCGTTCTTCTTACAGTGGAACAATATTTGAGGGCAGTTAAAGAGGAATGGAATGCAGCAAACTTTGCTTTTAGTGATAAGATGGTTCAGGGGATTTTAAAAAATAATTTATTACTCATTAAAACACACTGCTGAACTCGCAGGTGATAAACAAGAATAGGGCCACATACTCATTGCAAATGGCAGGAGAATAACAAGTTAAACCAATAAAAGCTGTCTTCCCCCCAAAATCCTTATCTGAAATTCTGCTATCTAAATGATCATGGAGAGGCTTGCAATCTGTCAGACCATGCTACTGAACTCCAGGGCTGGATCCAGACATGTAGGCACATGCAGTCTATGGCATCGCAAACCTTTTTGTGGTGCCACAAACCACACAACTGGCACATTAAAACATGCCATGAGCTGCAAATTTGCAGCGCTGGGGCAAAATTTGCTACTGGGAAATCCAAGTTGGAAAGAAAAAAAAAATCCGTGCAGTGCATGACACAGTAGTGTGCATCAGCCGACACAGAGGCTCAGTCCTCCCAGGAGATGCTCTGGCTACTGGCTAGAGTGTCTCTCCTCCTCTAGTTGCACCATGGCTCTTCCAGCACACCAGGAGCCAGGAGGAGTGGGAAAATGGTAGTTTCACAGAAGTGGGGCATTTGCTCCACACCAAAGCACATGTGCAGGGGTGTGCACAGTGTCAAAAAGTAGTGGCATAAATTTGTGCTGCTTTTTTTTTTGCCACTGCAAGCACGTGCCCCTGCATATGGAGACATGCCAAAACTGGATCAGCTGCACTTTGGGGCCACTCCCAAATCATCTTCCTCGTTTCCTTTTGAATAGTATCAGAGGACAATGCTCTAAAAGAGGACTATGGCCTTCCTTTTGAGCCAGGACATACTAAAGAAACGTTTAAGTGTTCCTTTATTTCCTGAGGAAGGACAATTTGTGCCCGAAAGCTTGTTCCAACTAGACAATTGGTCCATAAAAGATTTCACCCCCTGAATCATCATGGCCACAACATCACTCCAGCCCTAATACTTTCATTTCTTGGTAATTTTCACATCACCAATTGATAACTGTCTGCATTTAAGCTTTATATGTATGTGACTTTTCAGTCTTGATTTTGTGAAGTTTCTGCTTCTAAAGACCTGCACATTAACTTGTTGCTTTTGCTGCAGTTGTCCCTTCATTGCGGTGCCCAGGACAAATTTGGAAGAGAAGCTAAGAAAAAAATCCATTTGGATTCATATTATGTGAGAGCTCTGTTGGTTTTGTCCACATTGTTTCAACTGTGACTAAAATCATGTTCCAAAATAGCGAATGCTGTTAGGGAAGCTCTGTAGTATTTCATTTAGAGACAAAGTATATTAAGACTGCCCTTCCTATCCTAGGCCTACTCTGTGTGCTGTGGATTCCGCTTCTATAGATGGTGGTTGCAGGAGCACCTGAAGATGGAGACAGCATGTAATAGAGAGGTTCCTCCCTCTTTTCTCAGCCCTCTTCATTCAATTTTGCAAAAGCAGACATTAAAGAAGCACAACATATGAATGATCCTCTTGGCTCTGATGACTGTACAGAGAAAAAAAGGGGTGAATTCTTATAACAAAAACAAAAACCTTCCATTACATCTAGATCAGCCAAGGACTGAATGAACATGGAGCATAAGTTAACCTGGTATCCTCCGATGTGAGTCTGAAGCACGACAAAGCATGATGAGGCCTGCACAGTGATGACTCTGAAACTCATGCTAAGCTTGGGCCTACTCTCAAAAGTTAAAAGGCAGAATAATAATGCTAACTGCATATTGCAAGAGGATGTGAGTTCATGGCTAGGCCATCTAAGAAGGAATAATGAAGTATCTCTTCCAGCTTATCTTGCTATATTCAGAATGATTTCAAGCAGACTTCTAGGTATCTGGTGTATAACCATATGAAATGTCTATCCTTGATTAATTAGTATGTTAAATATTTCTTTTGTGACTAACTCGTGTTTATGTGCAGGAAGAGACATTCTCCATATGTAATAGATGTCTCCTCCTGATTTAGTGTTTCTCGTGGCTGTTAATCAGTTTCTTGATATATTTCAAACTGGATAACCTCTAGTTACCAAAGAAGGTAACTCATTCAAATTAAAAATTTCTGATAATCAGTAATGAGCAGGTTTTTCCTGTCAATTACTGCTTGGGACTCTTTCTTGATTTACACAACTAAAAGAATGCTTTGA